GCTTGCCTCCTCCTCATTTTTAAATATCTTCTCAGAACACAGTTTTCTTGAACAGTTTATTAATGGCCGACAATCTCCTACAGACAACCTAACACCAAAGCCCTTTCATGGAAAAGAGCATGAAATTGCACATTTAAGGAGTGCTGTAAAAGGAGTGTTTAGTAATATCAACTGTGACTAATGATAGCTCAGTCACACTAGAGTGAGAACAAAACTACAACCTCCTTGCAACTAGGAAAAATTGGGAATTGTATTTTTTTAAAATATCAAGCAACAGATTGCAAGTAGTCATAGCAACCACTTTTTTGTGTGTTAGAATTCGGTCCCCGAACAGCTGCAGTCTGACTCAGACTCCAGGCTTCTACAACGATGGCCCAAAGCTCTTCCTTGAATCTTGCCTGCCTTTTGTTCTGTTCTCTGTCTAGATAACCCCACACTGCTCCAATAATGTTGAGATTCAGGCTCTGCAAAGGCCAGCCGCGACCGGCCCACTGCCCACATGTGTGTTCAACTTTGTTTTAAATCCAGGTCAATCTGTTTGACCTGGATTACAGATGGTACTGGTGGATCAGAATCTCACTGTACTTTTCTGTGTTTATAATTCAGTGAACATAGAACTTGTTCAATTTTGACAAGCTCGCCATTACCACTGCCTGAAGTGCTGCACCAAACCTTGACAGAAGCTCCACTGTGTTTCACAGATGGCTGCTGCTTTTGATATTCAGTCCAGTTCCTGTGTAATTTGGCATACACCTGCCTGTCCTGATTGTTTCCCTTCCTTAAGAGTAGCTTCTGACAGCCATCCCTCTTCATTTGTGGCATTTTCAACTTCTGGCTTTTTTCCTGCTTTAATCCTCTACTCGATCTTTTTTCTTGTTAAATTATTCCAATTAATTCAAGGTGCTTTTTATGTAATAAAAACATTTGAATAATAAAAGCAAATAAGGCTTTAAAGGGTAAAGTTCAGAAACCAATGGCTGATGTTGCAGTCTTCTGTATTTTGTATAATGTAGATGTCAAACTCGTGCAGATCATCATCAAGGGAACGCGATTAAAACCAGTCCAAAGTCAGCGGCACCTGACTTTGGACTGGGTCATTTCAACAGCACTAGCGATGTTGAATGCCGATTTGCAACAGCCAGGCCCGTGTGTGCTGGCGTGTATGAGATGATTAAATATTTTTATATGACTACTTTAATAAAATGTAGTACTGTCCCCTAAGTTCATCACCGAAAAGTCTGTCAAAGCTTGAAAGTCTGTACTTTAAATAGCTGTTCTATTTTTACCCGTCTGTTTTTACTTCGATTCACCTTAAAATGCTGCTTTGCATAACTGGTGGTGACAGACTATGTTAATTTCCTTAGATCACAGTAACAAATTTAGAAGCAACGTTTTTGCCTTATTTCATTTTATGTGCTTTTTGTGTTAGTTTTTCATCGCAGGCTCAGAAGGTGGGAGGGGCCACCAAGGATTGCTGTCCTATGGAATGTGGAAAGGGCTACTGACAAGAGGAGCTGGTGGTCACATGACTCAGCTTTTGTGCCTCATGGGGTTAAATGGGGGATATAGACGCACATGCATTCATTTCCTTACAGTTACTATGCACAGGGAGGAGATTTTCTTTCCATTTTTGGGTAGAAATGAACTTCCTAGAAACTCTTTGCCTGTTATCCATGTTTTTCTTGTTTTCTCTCAACACAGAAATTAGTACTTTTCCACCTAATTTAACACCCTGACACTTCAACAGGAATCTTAATCGATTCATTTAGTTTTTTCCTTTAAATATCACTTTTCACCAGAGTGATAAATACCAAAATACAAAACTAATACTTACAGATGTACTTGCACTGCCACATTCACAAGAATTCACTGGAAAATCCCATCAAATGGACTGAACTACAGATTACCCTCTTAAAATCACACTTAGTGTGTTGGAGTTTGAACAGATGTAGAGGATGTGTCCGTCAGCACACCTCTGAGGTGTTTTGCAGGATGTCTAACATGATGTTACAGTCTCTGCTCCATAGCCTTGCAGTTGATTTATCTTAATTGTGACTGCAGTGCAACCTGGCAGATGGTTCACTAACTGGTGGGGGTTGGAGAACTGGTAGATGGCAGAAATAAATGGTAAATGGCCTGTATTTGTCTAGCGCTTTACTTAGTGCCTAAGGACCCCAAAGCGCTTTACACATCCAGTCATCCACCCATTCACACAACACGTGATGGCAGCTACAATGTAGCCACAGCTGCCCTGGGGCGCACTGACAGAGGCGAGGATGCTGAGCACTAGTGCCACCGGGCTCTCTGACCCCACCAGTAGGCAATGGGTGAAGTGTCTTGCCCAAGGACACAATGACTGAGACTGTCGGAGCTGGGGCTCGAACCGGCAACCTTCTGACACACAGTGTCTGTAAAGACAAAAAGGCAGATGCTGTGTAGATTAAAGTAATGTTACTGTCAATATGAGAAATGGTCTGTCAAATTCTATTAACAGGTCGGGGTTCGAATCCAGAACATGGTCCAGTTATTGTGACCTAGGTTCTATTATAGCCACAAGTCATTACATTTTGATAGTGAGCCATATTTATTAGAACTCAAAGTCAATCATAACGAAAGCAAATGGTAGATAAGACTCAGGGGAATGAGGCAAAAATGACAAATGAATGACCAGAAAGACAAAATGTCTTCAGACTGATGCTGACACTGCACTCTGTTGCCCACTGAGGTGGAAAACTTGGAAAATCTCCACATGTCCATGGATGAGAATAATGCCAGTCAGGGTTTCTGCTACTGGGTTTCAGAACATTTTTGAGAATATGATCTGACACCTGATGCTTACGAAGCTTACGAGTGCCAATCACAGGGAAACGGATAAAGGAAATGCTATGCATTTGTTCCGGTAAGGTTAGCATAAAGTTATGCATTAGACTCTGCCAGGCTCATGGCAGGACAACACACTGAGTCACACTGTACAAAGAAATAAAAATTCAAAATGAATACAGTTTTGTCAGCTTAAAAAAATCAGGGGCTGAGTTGTGGTGCAACACAAACTACAGTGCAGAGATGGCGCTTCAGTAAGGTCAGAGAGATATATCAGACAGTGTTTGATTTTAATTTTAGTTTTATTCATACAGCAACAAACCAAAGCAACCATTGCCTCAAGGCTCTTTATACTGTTAGGTAAAGACCCCACAGGGTTTTTACCTAACAGTTGTGGGGATAGGTTAATTGATTATTCTAAATTGCCCATAGGTGTGAATGGTTGTCTGTCTCTGTGTGTTGGCCCTGCGACAGACTGGCGACCTGTCCAGGGTGGACCCCGCCTTTCGCCCTGTGACAGCTGGGATAGGCCCCAGCGCTTCCCGTGACCCTGAAAAAGATCAGTTGAAGCGAATGGATGGATGGTAAAGACTCTGTATATACAGAGAAAACCCCAACAATTAGACAAAATGCCTATAAGCAAGCACTTGATGCTGGAAAGGAAACACTCTTTTAACAGCAAGAAATCTACAGCAGAATGTGCTTCATGGGGTTTAATGGGGGCTATAGTTGCACATGCATTCATTTCCTTACAGCTACTGTTCACAGGGAGGAGATTTTCTTTTCCATTTTGGATAGAACTTGAAATGAACTTCCTAGAAACTTTTTGCCTGTTATTCTTGTTTCTCTCAACACAGAAATAGTACTATTGCACCTAATTTCACACCCTGACACTTCAACACGAATCTTAATCCCTTTTAAAAGCAAGAAATCTGCGACAGAACCAGGCTTAATCAATTCAAGTCAGTTTTTTATCTAGAAAGCCCCAAACATTCACCTCAAGGCTCTTATTATTGTAAGGTAAAGGCCCTACATGCAAAGTGGTACCGGACATTAACGGGTGCAGCAACACAAATCAGTAAATATATCTTCCATGATAGCCACCGCCAAGTTTATTGCAAAGTAACTGATGGAGGATTCAGGGTCACCTCATCCAACCCTAACTATTTAACAAAAGGAGCATTTTAAGCCTACCGTAATCTTAAAAGTAGAGAAGGTGTCTGTCTCCTGAATCCAAACTGCTTCCACAGAAAAGGGTACCATTCTCCTTTTATATACTCATAAGTAAGCCTGCAGTCTCAGAGCAAAGTGCTCTAATGGGTTGATACGGTATTATAAAAGTGTTTAAGATAAGATGGGACCTGACCATGACAGCTATTGAAACCTGTAATCTCCTCATGTTTGTATATGTCCAGCTGATGGCTTTTGTCCTTACCACCTTTGCTTGTTGTAAAGTCAACATGTGATGCCTAATGTCGGTACTAATTTTGACTTTGGCTCCTGGCTAGCCATAAGATTTACACCCAGTCATACCAAGAAGGCGGCTTAAACCTAGATGTTGCAACAGACTTAGAATGACTTAAAAAGTCATGATTGGCTTAGTTTATGATCAGACCGAAACTCTATTGGTGCAATTGGCCTCTGATTACTCATCTGTGTTCCAATAGTAAGCTGACGTATACATGCAGAAGTTTCCTTCCTTGTGTTATTTGTTTTTCATTTATTTATTTTTTGACTGTATTATTTATTTATTGTACTAATAACTGTACTAACTGTGGCAAACTGGCATAATTATGAGCAGACTAGTAACTCTATTTATTTAAAGACTTCTGTAATACCATCACAAATTCAAGTTTAAAAATAAAAACTGAAAACCACATTTCCCATAAGCCCATTATTTTCCATCCAGCCTCTCAGTCATTGGGGTTTTAATGGTCTTGAGCAACGTTGCTGGTTGGATTAACAGTGATTAAGGTTGTAGCAACACATTTAAATCAGTAAATCAGATCTTCCATGATGATGTTTTAAACTTGTTTTTTTCCCCATCAGATTCTGCAGATCTTGGTGAAAGCAGTTGTTGAGAACTTGACAGACAGCCAGGGTGAGCAGGCAGGAGCCCTCCAGTCCAAACTGAAGGAGCTCCTAGGTCGGGTCAGTTCTCGCCACAGCAGTGACGCTGAATATGGCGACAGTATGCCCTGCTGTATGGTGACGGCCACAGCTCCAACCCAGAAAACGACGACAAGGTCAGTAACATGCACTCGCATGTCTTTGTTTGTTTGTTTGTTGTTTTTTTTATTCTAACAAGTCTTGGATCTGCCAGTTTCTACTTTACAACTATACAAAGGGTCAGACCAGCTCTTCATTCAAAGCATGTGATTCCAAACGGTTTGTTTCCTAACAGGTAATGCAGAAATCTGCAGGAAACAACTTCACATACAAGTTCATTTTCATCTGCCTCTTGTTTATATAAAAAACCAAAGTAAAGGGCACCTAAACATTAATAAAAACTAAATGCACTTAAATCAGTGGTGTGCGGTGACTTTTACAGAAAGATAATCCCTCACACAAACATTTGTCATCATCTTAGATAAATTTGATCAAATTAAAGCATACCATTTGTTTTTCTTCTATTAATGTACTGTCTTTAGCTTACATTATAAACACCTTGAGGCAACTGTTGTTGTGATTTGGTGCTATATAAATTAGAGATGGCACGATACCACTTTTTATGTCCGATACCGATATCATAAATTTGGATATCGGCCGATACCGATATGAATCAAATAAGTGTGTTTAATCAATAAAACTGTTTTTTTAATATCTTGCTGCTTTTTGTATAAGTTTATACTCAAGTTTAAATAAACAACAACACTAAAGCTATTCTGTTATACCTGTATGCAAACATACACTGCACCCAAATATTTCATAGTTCAGCAATACTGATCAATCTAATAAACTTAAACCTGCTCCATCCTCCCTATTCTGGTATTTTAAAGAGTAAGCAACCTAACCAATAGGGCTCTAAAACTCCCAGCAAAAAAATAAAAAAATAGGGAACCACCCCCCACCCCCCACCCTCCACCTCATGATGCTTAATCGACGTAATCAACTTTAATTTGATGCAGTGTGAAAAAAATGCACAGAAATCAATTATTTTTCAGGAATAATTAAATAGATTCAACATCTTTCTTCAACAGAATTGCAGACTGCACAGATGGTACCTTCCCAAAGGAAAATTACTATAGCTTACTAGGGTATATTAGACTTAACAGTTACTATATACAGTAATGGACTATTATACATTTTACATCAGATTAAAACTTTGGGTGTAAGATTCGGATAATTATTTATTAAAAGCTCGACATTTTAAATGAGAATAAGAAAGAAAAGTATGTCTTTGTGCCCCTTTTCCCTGTTCATGCCCTATCGGCCCCCTGGCTAAACTTTGCTAGATCCGCCCCTGCACAGTTACCAGCCGTCAGCTGTAGAAAAGGATCCTGGTGTAGAAAGTGATATTAAATCAATTCTAACAACAGATTATCAATCTTAAACGTGCTGCTGTTGTTCAGCCGCTGGTTTCCTCTTTCTGGTGCAAAGTGGGCGATAAACAAAGAAGAGAGACGGACTCGCGACAGAAAAGCCGATCAGCTGATCATTAATCAGTTTCACATGGAAGTAGCAGCAGGAGAGGGAGGGAGAAGAGGCAGTCACTCCATGTATCGGTTGTTAGCTTAACGTGGAAATGCTTTACAAACATTCAGAGATGAACTTACACATTTGCTTTATTCCTCTCTGTGAGATAACTTCCTCTGAGATGAAATGCTGGTTTGGTAGCGAGGCTACAAATACACACAGCCGCTCTATCATGTGAGCACACTGCTCCGACGTGCTACGGTTATGAGCCGAGTTACGCCATGTCGCAAGTTTTTTGATGTGCTTTTTTGATATTTAATGGATCGGATTACATTTTTTATTTCTCTCCGATATCCGATCCAGTAATTTACGTCAGTATCGGACCGGTCCACCTCTAATATAAATACATTGTATTGAATTACATTTGTGCCTTTCAGCACTCTGCTTAGACATCTTCAGCTTTCTGCACTCCTTCCTGACTAAAGAATTGTAAATTCTTATTCTTTAAATCATATGTCAATCGTTTAATCTTTTAAGGACCACACATCTCTGGGGGGGGGGAAAGGTTGTTGCTGAGCTCAGAACAGGCTAAATCTTGATTTTGAAATGTACATTAATCAAAAAAATCAGCTAAATTAAAAGGCTTGAGCATTGTGTGGCGTGTATGTGCAAATCATTAGAAAAAAGCTACTGCTCTCTGTTTGTCCAGTTCCAGTCATTAACAAAGTGAGACGAACACACCCATAAATGGAGACTGCCACAGTATATATATCAGTATGAAACAAGCGCAGCTTTCAGCAACAATAGCCTGTTGTCCTTTACATTCATGCCACAAGATCAGAGTAATATAAAGGATAGATGCAGACTGGTGTGGAGCTTTTTTTTTCCTTCAATTTTTATTTATACTTAAATTTATTTTGTTTTACAAAATGAAATAATACAAAGTTCCTTGTACTAACAGAATGCCACTGACTGATGTAATATACCGCATAAACACATTTGAACATTAAAATAACATTTACAAACCTCATATGGTGGAAAAATGTTACCATGATGGCCTCACAAGTCAAATCTGTAGTGTAATCCCTGTTGTTTAACTTTGCTGCTTGAATCATGTATTTAGTTGAGCCACACAAAGTGGCAATAGATGGCTTTGAAAACACCCGTTTGTAGGTTTGGATGCCTAATGATCCATCTGTTAACAGAAGGTCTCGTATAAATCCTCTATCCGTTGTTCAGTCTGACGTCACTAGCCGTGTCTGGGTCTAAACTCCGCTGCAGGTCCATATATCAAACGATCACTATGGCATTACTGAGAGTTGAAAAACTGTCTAAAGTCTTTCATCTTTAATAAAATGATCAGCGTTCTGCTCTACCAGGTGTAACAATTGAGTTTAACATCCAGGCATCCATGAAACGGGATTTATGACATTTAACGGAGTTAGAAGTTAGCAGGGAGTTAGCTAGCTAGCTTCTATATAAATACAATATAGCATGTCCTGACTGCGGGGTTTGGAAACAAATTAAACGTACAGCTCTGTTATCACTTCCAGCATAAATGAAGACAGGAAACTAAACAGCAGTGATGTTTGTAGGGTTACTGAAGTTGGGCTAGCTGGTATATGATGATGTGCTACATGACGCTAGCGACACAGCTATGTTAGCATAATATAAACAAGCTAACTTTTTTCCACTCGATAAAAGTTAACGTGAGTGTTCTCGGTGGTCAGGAACAAATGTAATCGCATGGCAGGATGCTGTAAAAGGACCAAACTTCAGCCAGGAGAACAACTGAGATAATCCATCCACAATACGAGGTTAGTCATTCATATACTGCTGCATTGGCTGGGCTGTAGTTACATCCTAAGGTTTTAAAAACTGAGCTTAAATAAATGATTAGCGGTAATAAAAGCCGAGGGAGGTCAACAGTGATCACTGACTGTTTTAGGAGCTTTTTGAGATCAAATAGAAGAAAATACATAACATTAAACATGTTAACAACACAAAAGCCATATTAAACGCAGACTACTTTAGGCCCGGAAGTAGGATTCGTCGCGTCATCACTGAACAACCGGATTCCTTGAGCACTCGAGTGAATCACCATCAATTATTCACTACTTTTGGTTTCCAACAGTCTCCTTGTTTGGAAATTTAAAACAAGTCAAGGGTAAAAGTGGGGGCTGCATTTGACTACCAGAATGGTACTGCAGCTTCTGTGTTTTGTTTTGTTTTGTTTTTCTAGGCACTGCAGTTCCTGTCCAAGGCCCATCGCTGTGAGGTTCAGGGAGGCGGTTGGGAGAAAGAACCTGCTCTCTTCAAGGAGGTGATCAAACAAGCTGTCCACATGGGAGAAGGTTAGCTCACCACCCAGCTCTGTATGCCCTCACAGCCATTTCTCAGAGGAACAGAGAAGATGAAAGGATGGCAATGAGATGGAAAAGCGATATCTGATTACAGTTTAGATGATAATCTCCTCAAACCTTTGATGTTTTCATTACAGTAAGACAGATTCATAGAGTTAAACACTGGAGAGGCAATCAGAAGTGACTTTGAAAAATAATAATAATGCTGTGAGGTATTAAATGTGTTTGCATTCTCCATCAGTTTATCCTTCCTCCCTCAACTAATGTTAGCCATGTTCCTGGGTGTGATGTTTGGGTTCTTTAAAACACAATTCAAATCCCTTCACTTTTAAATACTTTAGATACTTTTAAATACTTGTGTGTTAGATTTGATTGTCAGTGAATAAGACTGGATTTTTGTACATGTCTACATTAGTTTAGTTAATATTTGTATTCAGTATAATAATAGTAACGATCAATGCCTCATGCTACATATAGTCTGTGGGTTTTTTTGTATGCTGTCTGTGATGCAGCATTATAGAGGTACTTCTGATCATCTGATTCTACCAGGATCACAGTACCATCTGCTCATCTGCAAGCTCTCTTCAAACCAATGTTCAAACCAAAATTCTCCCATATCACCCCTGTGTTAAAATCCTTGCACTGGCTTCCGGTTGAGTATAGATATCAGTTTAAAATCCTCACTTTTACATTCATGTCCCTACAAGGTGAGGCCCCCACTTATATCACTGAGCTTCTCCAAACCAGATCCTTAGATCCACTGATTCGTTTGAAAACAAAGGGGATCCCGCTTTTCAAACCTTGGCTCGAATATTATGGAACAGTTTACCTCCCCCCTACGCACCATCAACTCTGTAGCTACTTTTAAAAAAACACTCAAAACACATCTGTTTAGACAGGCATTTAGGTAATATTCATGTATGTACTGTTTTAGTGGATATGCTATTATACCCTCTTTATAGTGTTTTATTTGTTCGTTTGGTTTGCTTTTATTCCCTTGTGAAGCACTTTGAAATAACTTCCTGTTTTAAAAAGTGCTGTATAAATAAATTTTACTTACAATGTTTTATTATCTGAAAGAGGAACCATTACATCCTCTAAGATAAAAACAGCAAATGAATTATTCCAAATACCAAAAGGGTAAATTATACATGCAGTGCATCTGGAAAGTATCCACAACACTTGTTCCACATTTTGTCACGTTACACCCTTATTTCAAAATGGAAATACGTTCAGTTTTAATTCACGTACACAATATTGCGGGATTGGTGACTTTTTACTTAGAGTGCTTTTAGTTTTTGGGGTGCTGTGCAGCCTGATATAGGGAGAGCCTGATCAGACCCAGCTGCCTGCTAGGCTTCCTGGCACTGCCCCACCCGGCCACAACGAGTGAACTCTTTGGCCTAAATGCAAAGTGTCCTCTCTCAAGGAAATTGGGCTCATCATCTGGCCAATACCATCGCTGGCACACATCCACATGCTGTGAGGATGTGAGATCAAGGGAAAAATGAATGCAGTCATGTACAGAGAGCCTTGATGATAACCTGCTCCAGAGTGCTCACTAGGCCGGACTTGACCGAAGGTTTATATGCCAAGAGCACACAGCCAAGATAACAGTGGAGTGGCTTCAGGACCAGAGCCCCGACCAAGTGATCATATCTGGAGCGATCTGAAAATGGCTGTGCAATGACGCTCTGCATCTAACCTGATGCAGCTCGAGAGGTTCTGCAAAGAAGAGATGGAAGAACTGTTCAAAATAGTTAGACTTGAGGCTTTAACATGCAACATTTGGAGTTAGGCTGTATAGCTTCTGCTTAAACACAACATCTGGTTGATAAAACAAGTAAAGTGCTGAGAATACTTTTGTGATGTATTGGGTAAGCGTTCAGGGTCACCTGATCTATTCCTGCCAATAACCTTTAAAAAAATGTAAGCGCCCAGTTTGTCTCCCAAATACAAACTGGGCGCTGGTTCCACAGAGAAACTTGAAGCTCTACCTCCCATTCTACTGTTAACCCTAAAAACTAATGTCAGGTGATTTTCACCCACGTAAAACTGATAGTGTTACAAAACTCCACATTAATATAGTTTTTTGCTCTCACAAGTAAACTGAGAGTAAAGTGTTGTATTGAGGTGATGTGGTAGTATGAGTTCTAAGTAAGATGGGGCCTGTTACTTCATGTAGTATTGGCAGTTGGGCATGGAGGAGCAGATCTTTGTCATGAGCTTCTCTTTTAGGTGGAGAAGCATTCAGTGCGTTCGATGCATTACCTGTCCTTTGGGATTGATACCTAATCTCACAGTTGGACATGCTGGTATCTCCCCCTGACCTGATTTAAAATCTGTGAAATTAAAAAAACACTCAATGATGTAAAAAATTTAAATTTCAAGGAAAAACCCCTGAAATTGGCTAGCATAAATTCTTATAGTGTCCATAATGGAAAAGGGGTGGAACAATTACTGTTAAATGAAGCGTCCAAACTGAACCACTGAACAACAGCAGCTTTAATCAGGGAGGTGATCAAGAGTTTTATCAACCAGACGCTTTTATGTTTAAGCGGAAGCTATACAGCCTAAGTCCAAGTACACATTGTTTAATAGTGTTTGAGTACAGAAAATGGCTTCTGGGACACTTAAAATTACAAAACATTTTGGGAAAGCTACAACATCAGCCACACTTGAATCTAGGATTCCATCCATCTATCTTCTTCCACTATCCGTGGCCAGGTCGCAGGGGCAGCAACCTAAGCAGAGTGGTTCTGCTCTGAGCCCCTAATTCCTCACCCTATCACTAAGGAGAGGCCAGACACCCTTCGGACAAAGCCCATTTCCACCGCTTGTATCCACGATCACGTTCTTTCAGTCACGGCTCGTGGGCATATGTGATGGTAGGGATGTCGATCGACTAGTAAATTGAGATCTTCGCTTTTACACTAAGCGCTCTCTTCCCCAAACTGGACCAGTACAACATCCGCATCACTGCAGCCGCAGCACCAATTCGTCTGTTCCCGTCACTCGTCAACAAGACCCCAAGATATTTAAATTGCTCCACTTGGGGCAGGAACTCGTCTCTGACCGGGTGGGAATCCATCGTTTTCCAGCTGAGGACCATGGCCTCAGATTTGGGGAATCCTAGCAGTGGGAATGAGAATCAGCACCTCCAAAGTACTAAAAGGTTAGGAGTTGATTATATACACACTCTATGAAATACTCAAATAGAGGTAAACATTCGCCAAAAAATGAGCTGGACACTGTCATACAGTAGAAATGCCCAATCAATCTGAAATGGAGAATAACTCGAGTGTTACCATCTGTAGGATTAGATTTTGATTTTGTTTAAAGACAGAAGAATAAATGGAGAGGGCTTAGAGAAAAGATAGCAAAATAGTACTTCCTAGTGAGTTTAGAAAATGTGTTGCTGTTACTCGACTACAGGTCTTGGTTGAACTCTTTCTAATCCCTTTAATCTCCTCCTAATCCCCTCCATGTTGGGGGCATACTTGTGGGTTGCAAAATGGTCCAAACACCCTCCAGTGATACAGCTCACACAAGCAATGAAATGCAACACTTTTGAGGGTTTTGGAAGACACCTTTAGGATTCCTATATTTGATATTTGCGCTTGTGCACGGTTGTCCCAAAGAATTAACTACCATGGTAATAAATCTGATTTCTGACTTTCTAAATGCTTCTGCAGATGCAGAAGCTTTTCCCTGCATTCTCTAAGTCTCTCTTTCTCTGCATCACAGTGGCACTCAGTTGCAGTGTAGAAGAGTAATCCAGCAGAAGCTCTTCAGATACTCTCCTCTACACGCCTCAGTCTCAGGAGTCTGGCCACCAAAGCCAAGGTAACATTAAGAGACCCCTTAGCACGAAGCAGATATCTGCCTCACTTTATAGACAGTTTTCCTGATCAGGAACTAGGAGGAGGATTGAGTTTAGCCTGTCCTACTGTGTGTGTTCTTACTGTAGCAATTGCTCCTATAGGACCTCTTTCAGTGATGTTTTCGGGTTGTTCCTACTGCTTGTCAAGTACTTCTGACCTGCCCTGAAAAATTAAACACTAAACCTTGTTTGCACCTATTTTGCATTTCCCTTTGTTACGGACATTTAATGTATGTTGTATACCAACGCTGATATTAAAAGATAAGTACATTTTCATACCATCCATATAAGTAAAAGCTTAGGTTTAGGAGTGCTATGATCACTGATTCATTTTCTTTCTGTTCTTGGCTCTCCATGATATTAGTAAGAATGGGCATCCTTATATGGTCATTTTAGGTGTACAGCTTTGGCTATGAGCAAGAAAGCCACACCTTCCTGCCTCACTTCACCATGGGCAGCCAATCAGAAGAAAAGTTGGCTTGAAGAAATGCAGACCTTAAAGGGGGCAAGACTAAATTACTTTCATCAGACACAGGGTGAAGTCTAAGTATAAGATAAATAAGGATTATTTTAAACTGCAAAATAACAATAAGGTATCTGGAACCTCTTTAGCTCGTGGTCTTCACTCAGTAAGTGATGACGGCAGCACATGCTCATGCAGATGTTGTCAGCATGCAGCCTGACACAAAGTCTTTACCAGGTTGTGACACCATTCAAAGCATCTGTTCTGCCTGAACAAACTCCTCCAGCAGGCGATCAAGACAAATGTCAGACGTGAAGATTTAGACACAGGCGTTTGGGTTGTTAAGTCGTTCTTCTCAGTGGTATAAGTTAACATTAATGACTTTATACTTGACTCTTCCATTGTATATCGTCTTCCAGCAAATCCACACAGACGTGGCCACAGGGATCCATGCTGAGCTGCAGGACGGCGTTACTGCTGTGGAGCAAGTCATCACCGAGCTGCAAGATCTGAGTGGGAAGCTGCGTAACCAGTCACAGTGACCATCCATCTCTAATATGCCCCTTTTGTGGCAAAAGAGACAACCTTTGGTTCTCAGGGGTCCTCAGTAAGACTGAGTAATAAAGACCCAAACCAGCTCTACACCTGCATTTATCATCACAGTGTATTACTGAACCTGTTAAATAAAGCAAGCCAAAGGACTGAATTTGTAATCCTATTTTCATACCTTTATGTCCACTTTGAAATGTAAACACTCACTGGGTGGCATCTTAAAATACAGTGTTAAAAATTTGAATGCTTGCTTTGATTTTTTTGTTGTTGTAAATGAAGTGATAAAATCACCTTTATCTGTGATAAACAAAGTGATCAGTTGACAGATTTTGAAGCTGCATCCATACAGAATAGGCTCTCGGGACAGGATGCAGCTTTAGGTCATCTGTATCTGTAAATATTTAGATCCCTCTCTCATCCACTGAAGAGACATGTAAATGTAGTAAAAGAAATAGACCTAGATTGTAAAAATGTGATTGATACAGTAGGTTACTGTACCCATTGTGGTAATTTCTGCAGAACAGAACATGGAAGAAAAATCGAGCCTCTATTCCAACTTCTTTGTCGGACATATTTCAAAATGCATACTCTAAAAATATTAAATCTAGGCTCTTTCGTTTTTTTTATACCTATTTAGTTCAGTTTCATTGTACTTATACCCTATCAGCAAGCACTGGGAAACACGACAGTGGGAAAGAAAAACTCCCTTTTAACAGGAAGAAACCTCCAGCAGAACCAGCCTCAGGGAGGGATGGCCGTCCACCACGACCAGTTTGGGTGAGGGAGGAAGACAGGGAAGAGAGCCAGAGATTAATAACAAGTGACGATTCAGTGCAGAGAGGTCTATTAACACACAGTGAGTGAGAAAGGTGACTGATTCCCCAGCAGGCTACACCTATTGCAGCATAAATAAGGAAGGATTCAGGGTCTCCTGATCCAGCCCTACCTCATCTGAAGTAAATCCGCAGTTCGAGAGGGAAGTGCACTAATGGGGTGATATGATACTATAAGGTCATTAAGATAAGATGGGGCTGGTTATTCAAGACCTTGTATGTGAGGAGCAGGATTTTGAATAAATGAAGGGAAGCCAATATAGCTCTATTTGTGCTAAAATAATTTTATAGTCAACTAGGAAATGGCACTGATCTTAACCAGCCTGGAATAAACAAACGGATGTATTGGTGTTTGTCTTGTCTTCCCCTTTCAGCCAATAACACATGTATGTATCCAAATAGTTGCTAAGACTAGATTTGTATGAGGTAGTTGTGTGCTATTTTATAAACTGCCACTAGCTTAACAACTTGCATACATAAACTTTACATGCTAGTTGGTAAATGGAAAATAGACTGGTTATATAGCGCTTTTCTACTCGAGCACTCAAAGCGCTTTATACAATAGTAACTAACAGATTAGTAAAGTACTATAAATGTACACATCAAAGCTGAAGTCAAATTATTTTCTATAGATTTACATTAAAGAAATGATCCAAAAGACAACAGTAGCACAACAGTACAGTGACTCATATTAAGAAAGGCGAGGCTGCTATTAAGGTGCTTATGTCAGCAACAAAGTGATAGATACATAAATGGCAGCAATTAAAAAAATCCAAGCAGAATGTTTTATTATATCGGAGTTGTTTTGATATTGTAGCTGCAGTGTAAGTTCTTTCTAGAATAACTCAAAATGATTGACTTTTTCCGTCCTTCATGAATATTTAAATGAAATTCCTAACACCAAGTCTTATCTCTTAAAGAATTGGTTGCATAAAGAAGAATTGTATACTAGAGAAGCAGACTTACCTTTCCCTTTAATCTCCTAACTACCTAAGTTTAGTACTCAGCTCTCGAACACCACCTCCACTCATTGTGTTCTCACTAATAAAAAGGCTATTAAAAACCATGAGCCATGCTCTGATGCTCTGCGAGATCATTTCCCAACTCATCCGACATGGTGAGCACACACACGCATCCATTGCCCTGCAGTTCATACAGGGAGGAGACCACCATTTGTTTCCTCAACTAGAAGGAAAATGACCTTGACATTGCTCAGGTTTTTTATCTCCCTTCTTTTTCACTGTATTGGAGCTCGTGTTTTATTTTTCTCTGCCCATTTGTCACAAGAGCCAGAACCTCTGTTTTGAAAGTATTACCACAGCGATACCCATACGGAAAAGAAATAGTAAAAACTTATATGTGATATAAATCATCATATAAGGCTTACATGATTTACTCATGAAAGTGGCCACTTTCTCATTACTTTCATACATTGTTTTAGTAAGTACCCAAAACATACAAGTTTCATTATATAATTTTTCAAGGGATCTTATATCTGTTTTCACTTTATATGCTTTTCATACAAGTTTCACACAAGACAGATACAAACTTTATAAGATTTATATATATCTTTTCCATATGGGTAAGGACTTAAAGGCCCCTATAAATGGATGATCTCGCATGAGGGAGTGGAGCACTGTGACAATGTAAAATGTTGATGATTGCACTTTGACAGTTGTCTTCATGGTAAATTCTCTGAGCTAATATTCATGTTTGAATCCACATTTCCAGCCTCACTCCAGTTATTAAATAAAAATGGCAAGAAGAAATGACCTATTTTAGGCTCTGGATCATCATTCATGACCACATTATATCACACCCACAGGATCTCTCAGCACTGGTGACTAATCTTCCTAATATGATTGTAAATTTACCAAATGCTATTATTAGATAAAGTCCACAAGAGTGATTTGCTGCTGTTCTGTCATCACCCAGAGGACAGCTTTGATAAAAAAAACACAAGTTTGATTGTTTCGTGCCAGACTTACGCTCCCAGAATTCCTGGTATTTCTCAGCAGGGGCTGCAAAGCTGATGTCAGCATTCACAAAACTCCCATTACCTCACACTTTAGTTCATGCGGCAGGGATTTTATTTCAGTTGGACAAAATCTCTTCTCAAAAGAAGCAACAACAAAATCTGTCACTTGCACTTGAAAAACAAATGTTTACAGCATCCCAGAAGGTATTGTTTTCTTGAAATTGTGTAAATCAACTGGTTCTTATATGGTGTTTCTCTACTAAATATTAAATTGCAATTTGATCCAGTGTAGTGATATTATTGTTCTGTCTTTTGTATCATGTTTGATTAATAATTCAGAAAAGTTCTAAAACTTTTTTGTACAGAACCCTTCATTCAAGCTAGTGCAGTTCGAATTGCTTCACTAATTATTAAACAAGCTGATAACTGAAAAGAACAGATGTTTAAAAAAGCAATACATTCATAAATTCAAAGCAATATAAAGTAGATAAAATTAATAGAATTAAATAGTTGCATTATAAGCAGTTTAGAATTACAGTAGCATTCAATTCAATTTTATTTATGCAGCACCAAATCACAACAACAGTCGCTTCAAGGCACTTTATATTGTAAGGTAGACCCTACAATAATACATGCAGAGAAAAACCCAACAGTCATATGACCCCCTGTGACCAAGCACTTTGGCGACAGCGGGGAGGAAAAACTCCCTTTTAACAGGAAGGCAGAACCAGGCTCAGGGAGGGGCGGGGCCATCTGCCACAACCAGTTGGGGAGAGAGAAGGAAGACAGGATAAAGACGTGCTGTGGAACAGAGACAGAGATTAATAACAGATATGATTCAATCATAACGTTTAACTGTTTTTGTAGAGAAGGTCATCAGGCTTTTATTCTTCTCCTAGTGATTATATGATACCCCCATCATATATATATATATATACACACACACACACACACACACACACACACATATATAAATATATATATATACACATACATACACACATATAAGATACACAAGTTTCACATATGTGAAATTTAACAAAACTTCCCCTGAATCAACTTAATTAACAAAACTCAACAACACATGGATTTGGTAACACAGCTCACCTCTCGTGAATCAAGCAGAGACTTTAAATAGAGCTATCAATTTCCCTTCAGTTAGTCTAGCCAGTACCACTAGCTAGAATTTAAAACTCAACACAACTGAATGAATTACCTAAAGCTCCCCACTCTTCTGATTAACACATTTACGCAACTAAATGGCTCTATATAAGAAAAAATATTTTGCAAATCCCTTTGTATCCTTTTTTTTTTTCCTGTCCCGTTTGGTTCTTTTGCCATCAGAATTATTGTCTAAAGGCAAAGAAAGATGCCCAACAGATTTACAGCCTTGCCGTATTGGTCTATTTGATTCACCTTTGCTTTTATTGTTTATTTTATTTTAGTTTCACTTGCTACACACGGGACAGACATGACTGGGGAAAGAAAAGGGGAAAGAAAGAGAGTATAGGGAAAGAAAAACAGCGGGGAAGAGGAACGGTGGTAAAAACAAGCAAAAAAAAAAAGCAATATAATAAACAACATCATCGCGATGATCTATGTGAATATAAAAGTAAATACTAAATATTGTATATTATTGTGCAGCACGTAGAATTGACGGCGCACAGTGTGCTTTGAGGTAGGAGCCAAAAAGGGTGTAGTTTGTGTCTGTGAGCACCTGTGTGTACACCTGTGAGCATGGACACGCTTGTTTTTAAAAGGTTCCTACATGTATCTGCTAGAGTTGTGGGGAGCCATAGCCCCGTCCTCCAGGGCATGAATGCTCAGATGAAGGAGATCCAGGCTCCAGCATTTGCTTTAATTTGCTGAATGTTTGTTTTGCCAGCAACAGGAGGCTTACACAAACAAAGCCGGGATAGTAAGTGCAGCAATGTTAATTTGACAATAGCAAATGATAGCAAATAAAAAGACAGAGAGAATAATGTGCATAATGTGCAAAAAGTCAGCACTTCTGGACAAGTGGAGAGTATTACAACTGCTCATCCACTTTGTCACAGGCTAAAAGGTTGATATATAAAC